CAGTATTCATGTACTGGGTGTCTTAAAACCATGTAAGGGTTGTTCCAGGAGTCGGCTGCCTTGTAACTGGATGCTTTGTGTCTCTCCTTCTCCTTCTACCTCCTTTCACCTTCTACCCCCAAAACACAAGCCCAATAGTAGCAAACATTACGTAACGCGTTGGCCGATGATCCCCAGTCGGGAGCACATGGTGTAGTCGCAGGGTTTAGTGGGAAAACAAGATCGCACTTCCAAGTTCACGGGGTGCACGGGGTGGGTCTGTGTCACTACAGCTCAAAAGAGAGAGGGACGGGGCCACGATACGTGCCTACATTTGACAGCAGCTCTTTCTGACGTAAAAGCAGCTCAATCTGGAGATTATCCTGGGTTGTTTAATTTGATACGTGATTTAACAGAGGCGTGTCTCTGTTGTTTTGCACTGCAGTAGCCTTGTAATGTGCGTAGATAAAGCTGTGGATCAATCGCAGTGTTTTGTTGTTGTTCCGGAAATGTGCATTATTGCCCCATCATAACACGTTCTCGTGACGTTCTCACGTTCTTAATGACACCTTTATGGAGCTACTCAACAACAGTAAGGATGGAAAGCAAGCGCTCAAATATCCTCCAAACTCTTCTTATCAAAGCCCACGCTTATATGACTGCAACAGCAAAAGGAAAATACAAAGTGGTGAAGGTCCTGGATCAAATCCAGTCTGATGCCTGTCTGTGCGTAGTTTGAACACTTTTACGGTGCCTGCGTGGGTTCCCTCCGGGTACTCTGGCTTCCTCCCACAGTCCAGAAACCAGTAAGGTTAACTGGTTATTATCAATTGACCATAGGAGTGTGAGTTTCTATGTGTGTGGTGACAGATTGGTGACCGGAATACGGAGCGTGCCCTGCTTTTTGCCTGTGACAGCTGGGCCAAACGGCGACCCTGAATTGGATAAGTGGAAGAAAATGGATGGATGGATGGAGACAGGCCTGGTGAGAGGCCCTCGGGTACAGAGCAGCAGGATTTGTTGCAGAAACATTTCTGTGCTGTTTGTGCACCATATTTGTCCACATACATGAAAAGCCTGTCGTACCTGCAAGTGTTTTCACATAATGCACGTGCGGCACGTATCAATACAACCCCCAAAGGCCAACAAGATTAGGGAGCTAAACACAGTCAGCAGTCTTGTACTAATTTGAACATTTGTTAGATGCTTTTCCTAAGCAGGGAGGTCGCAGCACCCCAGAGTGCTCCCTTTTCCAAGCAACTTTGACTGAACAATCTTCTTACAAGGAAACAGCCACAAGATGGGAAATTTGTAATCTCTGGCAGAAATGGATGTGCATGGGGCAGAAAGAGAAAGACGGCGCACTAGGCCAATCAAATTGTTCCAGTACCCAGAAATCCCTCTCCGATTTGCCAAAAAATGTTGCAACACAGACTGTTTTGCTCCATTTGTACACTAGGGAACCCTTTTGTGTTCTTTCTGTGCTTGCACTTTGTGCTTGTTACATAACCATGTGTAACAAAGGGTATTGATATGAATCAGGTAGTTTTGATTCAGACAGGGAGAGGCTGAAATGTAAGATTTGACCTTTCAGCCTGGGCACTAGAGCTTGTGTCACTTCTTGGTTTCTAAATAACTTGCTGTATGACTAAGTAGTTGTTGTTGTTTTTATCTGTTCTCTGCCCTCACCATACAGCCCTTTCACTTAAATCCAATGTTCTAGCAGTACTTATTAGAAACATTTGTGCAAAGATTAGGTGTAAGACATGCTGGAACAGGCATGGCTTCCGCTTTTTAATAACTATAAATCTACTGTCGTTATGCAAGAATTAGGGAGAATTGCAGTGTACAGATGTGCCTTTGCATGTCCACAGCAGAAAGGGAAATGGGTCTTTGCTGTGGACAGGGAAAAACACCCAACTCGCCAGGGACATGGAAACCCCGGTTTTTGAACAGTTCCAGCAATAATGATCCACAAGGGTTTGGACTTTCAGGAAGAAATGCGTTTTGGTTGTTGAGTTTAGTGGCAGAGTGAAACATGTCCCACACAGAGGGCCCAGAAGGACATCTACAGAGTGCTTCCAGACTAGTCCATACCAGTCTTATTTCCAAGCCTCGAGCTCAAGTAACCAGAAGCTGAATCTGCCCAAATTTCGGCCTCATTTAAATACATCATTATCTTACTGGAACTTTTTACGAGGCCTCTCCACCTCCAATGTCCTAAAATTATCGCCACTTTTCATCTGTACAAGCTGCACAACCGCATGATGCAACTGAGTCATGTGCCGCAAAACCGTTAAGGGTGTGTCCTCAGTCCGGCACTTACTGACTCACATTACATCCCAGCCCGTTTTTGATTGTATGTAAATAACCACACTGTACCATGAAAACAACAGACGGGCAACTGCTGAGCACAGAGTTGGACAGGCTTCTGCCTGATTGGCTGGAGCTTGTTCTTGGCCTGTAGCCAGCGCTTCCCTTCACTGTGCCGATCGCAGAGCCCCTCGAGTCTGTCTGGTACATTCCAAAGGAGAAAAACACGCCAGTGAGGGCGGGAGAGAGAAGGAAGGAGGGAGGGGAAGAGCGCAAGGCGGGTACATCTCATCTCACACGTAACAGGCGTAAAGCGTGCTGAGAGAGTGCAGCCCAGTGTTCAGAGGAACTGACTCCACTGTGAGAGGAGGGACACTCCTGTAAGAGGATCAGGTTGCAGGAGGCAATGAGGTCATTCCAGTGGGTGAATTAACCGTGGCACATTGTTACATCATGTTTGTTTCTTATCAAAATTCATATTTATCGTATATGTCAAAATGTATTTGTCCAGCTTGATGGAAGGAGGTGACAATGGGTTCATTTTAGCGCTTTATATGAAGATGAATATGCAGTTTTTGTGCATTAAAATTGAATCAATTGTTTCATACAGGAGTGCAGCTAGTGATTGTTTCCTTGATAGATTCACCTTCTTCATTCTGATTTGTAAAAATTCAGAAAACATACTGACGCATGTCAAATCCCCAAAGCCAGCTTTGTCCAAAGGAGACTTTTTAAAGCTACATTAAAACCGTTGGAAGAAACTGAAACCATCCTTCAACTGTGCAAAGCTGAAACCGTGGAATATTTTCTCATGAACAACAGCTGAAGGTTGAGCAGGTTATTTACCAATGGGGAGGTCGGCAGTTAAAAGAAGTCATAAAAAGCCCCTAAAGGCATAAAACACAGCGCTGAATGGGTGAACGGGGCTGTAGCCTTAAATGCTTTGAGTACTCAGTAAGATAAAACTCAGGGCGATAAAACAAATGAGTGGAGCATTGAAATGGTTTTCAGAATAATTTTTTACTAATTATTTTAGCTGTACATTTATAAATGCTTTGTAGCTTAACTTATCAGAAAGCAATAATTTACAAGCTTCACATATTTTCTTTCTAAAATTCCTAATTGTAAAGGAGCTAGTGACCACAGACTAGCACATATATGAGTCAGCTCGTACTTTCTAAAGGAGGAAAGTCTTCAGTTATTAATGATATGAATCAATAGCAACCATAGACTGTCCTTACTATTTGTGTGCATGGATATATGTAATGGTAACTAGATGTAGTGAAGTACAATGTTTCTTTCTGACTATGGAATTAGACAGTGTCCTTTAAAGACATTGTATTAAAAAATAGTTACTATGTTGCCTAAATTGTCCAACAACATACAGCGTTTTGTTACAAGTTACTTTTTTTTGCTTGACTGCAATGTTGAGGTCTCTTTATTAAATAGACATATTCAGTCTTTGAATGACTTACTCTTCAAGCACCAAAAAAGGAAAAAAGAAGTTGAAGATGTCATTCTAAATTTTTGGCCGTGACTTTTTTGTTTGTTTTTTTGAATAAAATGTTTCCAGAAAGCCTCGTGGATGAAATCATTCTTTTTTTCCTGTGTGTGACTGCAGTGTGGTGAGGTTTTGGCAGATGAAACACTTGACTGACACGAGCCCTGAGCTTTGCAGAGTTTTTGTTTACATTTATTACAGACAGTGCGAACAGGAAGTGCGATTATTTTGAAATTCAAGGAATTAACCTGTTTGGTGTTTTGCCTGTAAACTGCAGTTAGAGAGTGGGTGTAACAGTGAACTGTAATTTTCCACTTTGTCATAACGCAGTGCTGAAAGCTGTGTGTGTGTGTGTGTACGTGTGCAACAGTATCAAATATGAGCTTTGCAAAGACTGATGTTACACTCATATACTATATAGGTGCACCTAAAGGGGCCATTCTGAACGATGGCTTACATGATTTGCCTTGAATAAGATGACTGAGTAATGGTTTATTATGACTAACTGCACCCCTGCAGCAGTAATGAGAGAGACTGTGTGACTATTTATATAACCCCGCCCATAAGCGCTGATAACTTCCACCAACTCCAACCACTGATGTTGTTGTTCGGGACTATTGTTGGCTCAGTCACATTAAGCAGCGTTCATCCAAAAACAAACCCTCTCTCTGTGTTCGTCACAGTACAGTCTGGCCTGTTTCTTACATAACCAGCTTAGCCAAATCATTCACCCGAATCAGGTCTTTCCCCCCCTTCTTGACTCAAAGTGGGACATTGAGCAGATTTCATAAGAGTACAGCAGCAACCACAGGATAGAAAGCTCAGGGAGACGGGGAGGTTTTGGGAGTCTGACGCCTCCTGGTGGACATTAGTGAACACAGCCTGTTCATCATGTTTTTCCACTTGTGTTTGTCATGTGAGGTTCAAGTCTCGTGTGACCTTCAGCTGCCAAGAGTATCTGCAATAAACACCTGCAGGTTTGACATCTGAGAACCCGACCCGATGGCTCCCAGCCCAGCGTGTAAGATAACAGCCTTGATGTCTGAGTCACCATTACAGTATCTAGCCTGTCTGCACATATGAGTTTTAACCAATAAAAATTAATGACTTTAAATGGATTCAGTTCAGTAAAATACTCTGTTTCCTCCGTTTCCCTCAGTTTAATCTTAAGGTTTTTATGACTTAAAAAAAATGCTGCAGCCCATTATCATCAGCATCAGAAAGAGTTGAGAATCACTTTAATGTAAGAACATACTGAGATTTACAGGTGAAAAGAAAGAAACCGTACTAATTTTAGATCATTTGGAACAGAAAAGAAAAGAGGAAGCATCCTGGAATGATTCAGATTAAAAAAAAAGAGACATTAACACAAACAGACCTCTTAATACTGTGCTCTGATAAAATGAAAACTTTTCAGAAGGAGCAGAACGCCCTGGCGCAACAGGATTCCTGGTTAAACCTACAGTATGCAGCTAAAATAGATTACAGTACTTAAATATAAAAATAGACTCTGGATTTGATTGCTCGTTTTCCGTTCTCCAAAGCAGTCTTCGAGATGGACGGATGCATCCATTCGCCGTGTCCGCAGGTCCCTCAGTGGCACATCCGAGAGGTCATTTCTTTCTGTGGCAGACACAAACAAACAGCACACAGCTGAGCGAACCTTTCCAAAGCCAGTTTCTACACTGATCACATGACAGCACACTGCTGTGGGCAACATACAGGTGGGAAACAAAGAGTAAGCAGTCCAAGCTTTTTGGTCAAAACACACACACACACACACACACACACACACACACACACACACACACACACACACACACACACACACACACACACCTGACAGAGTGAGCACTCGTCTTTGACAGTTAACAGTAAAATAAATTTGGGTTTCAGAATAATGGAAAGACAAGAAAAAATCTGTTCTAAAACAAACAAACTGCAAAGACTCATTTTTTGAGTCCTGCATTTCTCTGGTGTGCTCATACATGGGTCTTAACTATTGTAGTTTTCCACTCATCGCATTAAGCTGCAGCAATCTGCAGCTTGTACACAGGACATTTTGTTGCAGCCTAAAAACCAGTGACCTAAATCCCTGGGCCACTGAGGCATCACATGACTGCAGTTTTCATTAGCTACACTAAACAAAAGGATACAGTTTACCCACAGCTTCATTTTTAAACTCACATCTTCTCATCTATAGCTATCAAGTTATGCATCACCCATTAAGCAACATCATGCTGAAATACAGAGAAGCCACAAGTTTTTGGGGAAGTTTAGAAACAGTCTTGCACTTACACGATTTGACCACTAGGGGTGCCAATTCTAATTTCCTAAATCAAACGATATGCTAGACTGATCTGATAATGTAGTAATCGGGCTCTTTGTTGTACTTCTCAAAAGATAATTTAAAGGAAATGTGATAGTCTGTTTACCTGGGTTGCCAAACATGAGGCCCGGGGCCAGAAACAGCCAGTCAAATGCTCCAATATGGCCCGCTAGTCCTATACATTTATTTCTGACAATTTAAGCCCTAAAAGTCATGCTTACAGATTTCTTTCATTCCTTTTCACTTATTACAATAGAAAAACTTTATCGAGTGGAAAAACTGATTTGTGCCGTTAAGCGTACAGAAGGGAGTTTCGCCGGTCCGGCCCACGATGCAAGATTAGCCTCACATCTCCGCTGTACACTGCTCTAAAATGCAGCTTTGTGTCACAGCAACCTTCAAATGCAGCATCTCGGTGTTTTAACATGGGCTGATTATTACACAAGCGTGCGCACACACACACACACACACACACACACACACACACACACACACAGAAACACACACACACACACACACACACACACACACACACACACACAAGCCCATTCTCTGTAACTTCTGTCGGTGCTGTGCTTTTTTGGAAATCGAATTTCCCAGAGGAACCCACCCGAGGGATTAATAAAGTTCTATCTTATCTTATTCAGCTATCTTAGTGGGGACCTTCATTAACATAATGGTTTTCCTAGCCCCTTACCCTAACCATAACCATTAAAAATGAATGCCTATCCCTAACCCTTACCCTAAACCTAACCATAACCTAATTGTAACCCTGACACTAAAACCACATTTTGAGCCTCAAAAAGGCCTTCAAACTTGTGAGGACCGGTGAGTGTGTCCTCACAAGTATAGTAGAATGCAGATTTCAGTCCTCACAAAGATAGTTAGACAGGAACACACACACACACACAGAGCTCGATGTCATCTGCTCACCAGGGGCTCCAGCTCTTTGTGGTCCGTTAGGTTGAACTCGGTGACAAAGTAATAGAAATGCTTGTAGCAGGTGTTGACGTGAGCCTCTGCCCCCATCTGGCTCACGCGGTCAAAGTGGTGGATGTAGACGTGGACGAACACCCGGAACAGACGCGACAAAATCTTCTTAGCCACCTGCATGAATGTCTTAGGGAAGGGAGTACCTGGGAGTCAAGCAGATGGGAGACAGAGCGAGAAGGCTGCGGTCAGTCTGCGGTGACCTTTTATTTGCTCCGGAGTAAACAGACACGTTTGAAATTACTGATGCATTTAATTAAAAGTGAGGCTGCTTTTTCTACATTAACCTTTCCCCGTCTTCTCCCCCTCAGGCCTGGACACCAGCCGCCAATCGGCAGCAGACGCGGCCAGCGTCACAATCGGACACGATCGGAAAATCGACAGGGCTCGGTGTGCCGAATAATCTCCCAACACACGCTTAATTCAGCACATCGTTTTGCTTTGACTAATTAAATAATGTTTTAGGAACGTGTTGCAGAGGATGGCTGCGTCAGAGGTCGTTTCTATTCATAGCCTTACTGTCCATCCTGTGACCCATTTCTAAATCCACTGGCTGGCATGTTTCTGTAGTCAGTCAGTCAGCTGCTGAGCCACAGCACAGTGCACACAAACACACTCGGAGATAATAGAAAACCACAAATTCCACTGCAGCAGATTAACTGTGATGTTAGCAATGCTCAGCGCTGAAGGTAATCTGACATACGTGGCCTTGCGGATGCTGAAAAACAGGCTTCACATTTCAGATGTGAATCGTTCGCATCTCATTTCAATTTTCCTCTGTAATTATTACACGTTAATCATTTAAGTGGCTTTTCTCTGCGTTCTGAATGAGTCACACTGAAAGGATCATTAAAATGAAATAGAGGTTACTCATTATAGCCATTCAGTTCATAAAAGTAAAGATATATTAAAGCATCAGCTCCCCACTTTCTGCTGTGTGACCCTACCTGTGGTGCCAACACCCATGCAGGGAGCCACTGGGTTAAAACACCAACAGGAGAAAATTTGAAATCTGAACAAAAGTCATAAGTTTACCAAATAAAACTTTGGAATTTATTGACTGGAATGGCTTCGTAACCATATCGAAGCGTGGCCACAGTCTGTCTGTGAATGGGCTGGTCGCTTGGTTTGCCTCATGAGATGACTTGACAGACTTGAACCAACCGCTGAGACGCCGTGGCTCGTGGCTTATTTCAACACTTACCGACGTTGGTGGGGAAGATATTCTCGTTGTTGATCTGTACCTCGATCCAGTCCATGAGCAGGCTCATGTATTTGGGAGCCGACAGGGCGGTCGGCTTCTTGTACTTGTGCTCGTCTTGCCAGCGGTATTCGTACTTGGGCCCGCCCGACATGACCGGGCAGGTTTGATCGGTGCACGAGTCACTGATGGTGCCGTAGATGAGGTTGATGCGGTTGAAGAAGTCGACCACGTGGACGGCCACCCAATCGTTGAGGTCCTCGCCGTGGGGCAGCTGCACAGCCAGCTTCAGGTCCAGGCCGGCGTTCAGGGACGCCTGGGCCTTCTTGTGCAGCTCGAAGCGCTGCGTCCCGGGCTCAAACTTGCGCTTGGGCCGGAATGTCCTATCTTTGTTGAAGACTTGTTTCAGGGCCATGGACATGGTCGCATGTGGTGGCGGCAGACGATCTGTTCGAACGCTTCAGGTGAATTATTTACCGTTGAAATGGAAGCAGACAAGGTTGTGTGAACAGCCAGTGTGGGTTGTTTTGGTTATGGATTGTCGTGGTTTTTATTTGGACTGAGTCTCTGACTCCTGTGTACGATTAAAGGAGAAAAAGAAAAGGGCAGAATTTGGTTAATATATGCACATTTACATTGAAATGTCTACTTCCTGTCAAACCTGATTGCATGTGTATGTAACAATTAAAATCTAGGGTTGCAAACAGCATGTTTGTTAGTTAAATTAGTGTCTAAAATGCCAAACAACAGTGAGATTTGGGTTTTTCCCAGTCATGAATCATATGTTAGATGCATGCTAGGTTGATATAAAACTGTTAAACCGGAAAAGAAATGGAGGCCGTGCGAGAAATTTTACGCACGAGAGCAACACAACTAAATAATTTGGCTGTAATCAGAATAAAATGCCCAGTTGCCCGACATAATTGATCTGAGACCACACTGCAGCACTGGGAGGCTGTCTGCAAACGACAAGCCTCGGCAAAAAGAGATTAACCTTAAAAGATGAAACATGGTGTCTGAGTGAGTCATTTCCTATTTCATACACCAATTCCGCCGTGAAATCAAGAATATGCCGAATGACAATAAAACCAAGTCAAACCGCGTGTTGCCAACGTAAATCGACATTGCCGTGTTTATTTACGCCTCCATATATACATCAGGTCCACATTGCTCGTTGTCTGGAGGGCTTTGTGTCGTTTTTAAGCACATTTCCAGGATAAAAGTCAGAGATTCAACATCGGGGCTCATGACGGCGGTGCGAAGTTTATTCGTGACGTGACGCTAGCTAACTCGGCCGGACTTGTTGCTCCATAAAACAGCAAATATAAAACCCGCTAAAAACACACGACAAACCCGGATCACTCACACGCTATCGTAAACGAGGGGAAAAAGCCGCCTAAGGGCAGCAGTTAACTCGGGCGGCTCTTCGCAGGGTGACGAAATGATACAGTTGAAAGCCACTTTCCCGAACTTACTTGTTCCGCCTTCCTGTTTCCTTCGACCTTTTATCGAGAAATATCTGGTCGCTGATCGATAGCTTTATGTCGACACCGCAGACGGGCTACATTATGGACACACGGTGCGATACATGTCGTAGAATTAGTAATAACGGTACGAACATGTCACTTTGATAAAGAAACTAATGTCTGACTCCTCCCTGTGAAACGAAAAGTACACCAGCGCAATGCTAGCGGCTTTAGCGGCGACTTCCGGATTCAGGATTTTCAAAGTAATGGGACTGCTTTTTCCACTATATGTGGAGACTTTCATGTTAGCTTTGGTCATTTCATTACATTCCCTCTGACCTAAGAGCAGTTTTCATGTATTAATCACTTACACCTGCTGACAAACTAAATCAAGTTTCCAGTGTGGGTTTTCTCATTTTACTGTTCGGAAGAATCAATCCTGCTCCGCCCGTATCCTGATCAGATGTCTCTTTTTATGTGGGACTACACGGCGTTTTGATTCTTTGCTCTCCCGTCCTACATCTTGACTCAGTACCTCACAGTTTGCAGTCTGCAGTTTTCTACAATATAGTTTTTACCCAAGCCATGCCACAGAAGGTCAAGCAGGAAAAGTTACAAGTAAAACAAAAGCTACAAGTGTTACAGAATTTGAATGACGTGTCAGCATATACTGAAGAAATGAAATTCTTTTTCAGTTTTGCAAAGGAGAAACTATGGCATGAAACGATATGTGCGTATGTGTGCTTATAATAAACAAAAGGTCCTAATCTAGTAACCTGCACAGTTTTAAGCTATATTGGCCAACACTGCTGCTGTAATTAAATGTATAAATATAAATAAACATAAACATATATGAAACTGTCAGACTACACACCAATGTCACTGACATGTCCCATACTGACCCACACAAACACAGCCCCACATGAGGACTTAAGACTAACTTTAAAACAAATCTAAATTTAAGTTAATTCGACACCACACACCTGCTCAGTTATTAGGTAATCTATGATATTTCTTCCTTGTTTGACAGTTTGGGCTCAATCGTCACCCTTTCTAATCGAGTATCTGACACCTTTGTACAACCAAACTCTACAAATTATGGCTAAAAATCATGTTTGGTGGCAGAACTGTCACCATATGTTTTTTCTTAAATTACAGTGTATAATATATAGTGTCTTTCAAAGACACTTGAATTGTGTAAATCTGTTTTATGCATTATGGATGTAAAAGCCCAACAAAGGACAAGGGCTGGAAATTAGCAATACCGTTAAATTCTTTATGAAAAAATATTAAATATATAATAAATGTAGATTTCCGGGACTCTGATCATATTACCTATTTATACCACAGCATGCATAGGGTCTAATATAGGGTCATAGGGTTTATTTTGTGAAAACCTACTATTATTTTGAAAACTGCTTCATCGACTTCCTTGGACCCTCCAGTGTGGCCTGACGGTTCACAAGTACTTCCTCTGACACAGTTTGGGGCCAGCGTGACTAACCTCAGTTTGTTTCTTTCCTAATAAATCGCCGCGTGTGACGTTTTAAATTACTGGCATTGAAACATCAGAGAGAAAAAACTATTCAACAAACACACATATTTAAAGACAGAGAACAGCTTTAAACTCAAAGTCTCAAAAAGTCTCATATTAGACTTTCTCATTTTGAATGTTTCTTTTGATTAAAAATGCAGATGTTGGACTCTGCACATACATGTTCAGAGTATTTATAAGAAAGTATGCATGCACCTCATGTCCAAAGCTCATTTTTGCCTTCCAGTGAAACATCACCAAATGCTGATGCTTTTATGGAGCATTTTGTTGATACAAATGTTCATAATGTCTTTAATTGTAATGTCTTTTGTGTTATGATTGATTTTATGAGACAGATTGCAGAAGACCAGTTGAATGGAGGCTCGTAGTTTTCCCGCCACATCTGTGATAAAGTTACAGATTTTTATTTTTATGGTTTTGGAACATCTGGAACATCTGGAAAAGAACAATTAAGACTTATAATGTCAGACTGTTGTTGTAGCTCCAAGAAAGAAAAAGAAAAAAAAAATCACACAGCACTTAAGAATGAATTCAGTCATATCAGCAGATTTATGATAAGTTAATCCACATTTTTCACTCACATAATTCGTTTGTTTCTAGTTTATTAGGCTAAAAACAGTAAAAATGCTTTTAGGTGGAGGCGGACAAAGACGCAGATTTGAATACATGGTTCGATTAAAGTAGCAGAAAATAAAATTAGTTTTGTTCAGCAGTATTACGACACTTAACATTCAAACCACGGCAGACAGAGAGCTTCCTCGCACGGCTGACACACTGAAGTCCGATTTACAAATGCACATTTATTGCTGCGTCGCTTCTGCGGTCAAAGCTGGTCACTGTGCACAGTTCATAAAACACTCTTTGTTTTGGTTGTTTAATGGCCGGCTGAAAGGACGCTTTGTGCAGCGCTGGGACAGAATGTGCCTTTTTTCTGTCTACTTGGTAGGCTCGGGTGCGGCGGCGGCTGCGCCTTCCTCAGGCTTGGCCTTGCCGGATATGGAGTAATGATAACTCCTCATGGCCTCCTCGACCTTCTTGAAGTCAGGACGGTCCTCGTGTCTGTGAGAGAGGAGAGGGGAGGAGCAGAGAGAGGAGGCTGTGATAAATAGAAGTCACAGGATTTTAAGAGGATGCGTTGCTTGCTTAATCTGACGCTAAAAAACAAATATTCAAGAGGAAATTGTTTTCATTTACGAGGGAACGACTGAGGAATATAATGTCGTTAGGTGACAGCAGCCATGCCTGACGTATGAAAACTACATAAGTCATTAAATACACTGCTGTGAAAAGTGTTTGCCCTCCTCCTGTTTTCTTAGTTTAGTTTTTTGCACATTTGTCATACATATGTTTCAGGTCATCAAACTAATTTTAAATGAGTCTTTTTAGACAAAAACAACAAGAGTAAATACAAAATGCAGTTTTTAAACGATTTAAGTACGTTTACTTTATTCAGGGGAAAAAACTACAGACCCTGCGTGAAAGACTAATTGCTCCCTAAAGCTAATAGCTGGTTGTGCCACTCTTGGCAGCAAGAACTGCAATCTAGCATTTGTGATAACTGGCAATGAGTCTTTCAGCCACTCTTCGTGGCAGTATTGTTTAATTCAGCCAGACTGGTGGGTTTGAGCATTAACGGTGTGTTCAAGCATCTCAGCTGGATTTGAGCTCGGACTTTGAATGTACCATTTCTTTCCCAGTTTGTTTCTTATTGTGGAAACATGAACTCTTGTTGTTTTGTTGTACATACATACAGACAACCTCTGTTTATGCCTCTCTTGTATAACGCACGCACAAGACCATCGGTTTCTCACTTGTATGTCCAGCACTCTTTCATCAGTGTATATACTCGCTCTGGACACGCCGCCGGACAATCCATGCGGCTCCCGTTCTCAATGAAGCGGATCACGTCGGGTCCTTTCATTTTCTGGAGAACAAATTCAAAGACAGGCAGTGTGAGCTCTGGGATCACGTCATGCTTTGATAACCTTCTGCAGTAATCTGTCTTACCTTGTAGGGTTTCCCTCCGTAGGAGAACGCCTCCCACATGGTGACACCAAAACTCCACACGTCGCTTTTGCTGGAGAATTTGTGGAAGAGTATACATTCTGGTGCGTACCACTTGAGCGGCCATTTACCTGCAGTACGAGCCTGTGAACACAACGTTTATGATGATGAGAAGCACGCCAAGGACTCGGCCAAAGCAAGCAAACATCGGCGATGGTATTTAGGGCCTTGGAGTGAAGGATTGCTGGGGCTCTCTGGTAACTACATCCACTCCAGATATGGGTCAGTAAATCAGTAAAATGGAAATCAATTGAGTGTTTAGTTCAAACAGGGCACCTGACACATTTTTGTCAATAGGAGCTAATTACTGTTTGCACATTGTGAGGTCAGCAACTCGCAGAAGGGCAATCCATCTAAGACATACTCTCTGTTTGCACACACTGATAAAACCCACACCGGACTCTCTAATCACTCTGTATTCATGCAACTTTGTCTTGCGGTACAACAATATTAAAAAATTCGTGAGTACTTTGTAGTAGTTGTCATCTGCTCCCAGGGCCTTGGAGAGGCCAAAGTCACTGATTTTGGCGAACTGTTGATTGACCAGCAGGACGTTGCGAGCCGCTAAATCTCTGTGCACAAAGTTCTTCTCCTCCAGATACTTCATGCCCATCGACACCTGGTGCATCAGGTTCACAATGTTCTCCACCGATACGGTATCCCTGTGAGGACACACGTCCAGAGAAAAGAAGCATTAGGATATTTTTAGTACACAAATGTAGTTTTTTCCTAAGACAGCTGGGATGGGCTCCAGCTGCACCCCCTGAACCTGGACTGGAAAAGCAGAAGTAAATAGATGGACAGACGATCGATGATGATGATGACACAAAACTTGTCCAGTTCCTTTTGATGCAACAAAACACTGAATATTATTGCAGTTTTAAGTATCCAGAAACCTTCAAATGAAGCAGCCTGAAAAATGAACCATCCTAAGTTTGAGTCTTTAAGACAGAAGTGGGGAACTCCAGGTGAGGTTTTAGATCTCACCCTGGGTCAACACACCTGAATCAATTTATTAGTTCATTACCAGGCCTCTGAAGAACTTCAGGACATGTTGAGGAGGTCAATTAGCCGTAATCAGCTGTGTTGGATCAAGGACCTGCAGGACACCGGCCCTCGAGGCCTGGAGTTGGACACCCCTGCTTTAAGACATATTTGGAGTTTTGGAATCATCCACCTCTCCATTTTCTGCTGCTTTTCCAGCTCTGAGTCATGGGGGCAACAGTCTGAGCTGAAACGCCTCATCCAGATGTTCAGGGGAAATACCGAGGTGTTGGCAAAATGTGAGCTCTGTCCTGGTTCTGCCCCAGGGCCTTCACCTGGGAGGACATGCCCAAAACACCTCACCTAGGATGACTCTCAGCTGGAGAAGCTTTTGCGTGTCATTCCCCTGCTCTTTTATCTATCTCTAATATCTCTATTGACTGGACTTGAGTTATAGGCTTCTCTTTGCTTTACTTAAGTCTTGGAAAGAGTGAAGGTGGCTATTAAAATGTTATCCTGGCACTAAAGCAAACACATAACCTAAAGGACGTGTAAAATCACATCCCCATGTTCCAACTTCTGCCCTTCGAGAGCTGCTGCTGTCCATACAGAGTACGGTCTTGCCTGCTCTC